TAACATAGAAGAAACTACATGTTCAGTCCTAAGGTCAGAGTTCACTTCTTAGAATGACTGTGGGTGGTACTTTCCCCCACCTGACTTCGGTGGAGTGAGGTGTCTGTATAGAAGAGGGTGGCCATTTCAGATTTTATTTTGATTCAGTTCTCAGTCCTCTGACTACATACAAGTCTGGATTATTTTATGCGCAAATGATTTGGGCACCTAATACTCTGTACCAAATATCAATTCTCGACATGTACTCCTTCATACCTCTATGCTGGTAACGTAATCATACTGCCATTTTTGGCAGTACGATTTTATAGATTTCATAGTTAATAATAATATAATGTTAAGAAAACTATATCAACAAAATATGTTTTAACTGTATTAACTATTTTGATTTTTTAGTAAGAGCCATCAAATACCAAGCATTAGTCTAATGTGGGCTTGATGTTGGCTACGTATAGCCTAGGTTGTGATCAGTTATTTTTAAATTAGAAGTTACAAAATGCACATCCTGGCAGGCCATTCCATTTGTGGCCCACATCTGAATTCAGGCCAGTTATTTTAAAAATCTCAAGTAATAGACTGCTTTTGCCATGAGTCAGATGTCTGTTTGTATGGACTGTACCATGGTAGCTTACAGCCTAAATTAGAGTAAGACTTTTTAAAAATTGAATACAATAGACATTACTTGTAATTTATTTGTTAAATTATTTTTCTTAAGTGAAATTTAATGTATATGAAAATAAGAAATGGCCACCAAGCAAATAGCCCACCAGGAAAATAAAGAATTTTCTGGTGGGCCAGTCCACCACCGATCACATATAACTATATTGTAAATATATATTATAATAATTAATGTATACTATGTATAGTAATTTCCACAGTAAAACTTATTTATTTATATAAAAAGATAACAAATTATATTAATTTTTGCAATAAATTTGAACTATTTAAAAACCTGTAATTTAAATGGTATTCACTCAACCTGAAAATGACATTTTGAAATATCAAAAGTACTTGTTTTTAATTAAAAACTTTGCAAATAAAGAAATGCTAAAAGACAGTTTGGTTTATTCTTAACTTAATAATCGTCATTATTTTTCTAGTTACTTCCTGCAGACTGGTAAAAAATCTGAAAATATTGAGTTTTGTAAAATATTTTCACTTTGATAATAGCAGTGTGAATTGGATTTACATCTGAGGAGTTTCTTTAATAAGCACATTATCCTTATTCAATTTTTTATTTACAATTATGAATCATTTAAAGGTGAAAAATACAAATGTAAAAACTGTTTACATTTAAGTAAATGCAACACTATTAAAATGTACTGTATATAAGCAATATATGTCATCAATTTTATATATATTAAAATTAATTTAGAAAGGTATTTTTTCATCCATATATGTCTTCTTTCATCAGTCCATTTCAAGGCACCCCTGAAATGTCATTACACCATCCTAGTGTGCCATGGCAATCTAGGCCATGGCCACTGGCTTAATAGAAAACTTCCTTGGAGCAATATACTCCAATTATTGAAATTCACTGATAGAAGAACTAGTCATTATAAAGTGATCAAACAAAGATGAAATAAGGATTACAAAATGTTCCATCAGAATGCATGATCACAATTCATAGCTTCTGTAGAATGTGGCACTTCTAAAAGCAAAAAAAGCTTTCCATCGTGAATACTATTGTTGTTTAGTAGTTATTGATCAATTTAACTTTGAAAATGATTGTTCTGCAGATGCAACAGATACCGTTTCAACTATTAAAATATATCCGACTTTTGGAGAAACGTTTTTCTGCTAGCACTTTCAGTAGTGTAAAACTACCATCATCAGGCGGTACATAGAATTCGATAATTTAAGCTTTCCGAACGATGTTCCGACGGTTCCTGTAACGCCACTGCACGTAAGTGTTCTAATAATAGTATACATCGGCGTGAAGTGCAAACTTATTATATCATTAAAATATATGTATAACATCCTTTTAATCCAAAGAATTTTTCTTGGTAGATAATCTTACAGCATTTTGGTTAGAAAATTACAGTTTTATTTTAAAAATTTGAACTCAAATGCATTTCGGGTTGGCTTACGATTCCAACCCCTCTTCAGTGCTGTTAAAAAATATACAAATTGTAATAAAGGACACGACATTATTTAAATATCACATAAAAAGATTTCTACAATACAAAACTTACATCTCATATAATGGTACATTTATGCAGAGTAAGCCGGACATTCTGATGGGCAGCCCGATGTCCAGCTTGCTCCGGGGAGCCCGATGTCCGTCTGAGAGTTAGTTTTACACAAAATAGAACAGTGCACGATTACAAATTTTAGTGAAGACATAATCCTATACAAAAGGTATGTTGATGATGTGTTTATTCTATGGAAGAATGATACAAAAATACACCATTTTTTGAATGAAATAAATGCAAACGATGATGGTTTAAAGCTTAAATTGGAGCAAATTAGTAACACGGAAGTACATTTTTTGGACATTGGCATTTCATTCAAGAATGGTGCTCTAAACATAAAGGTATATATATATCAAGCCCATGCACGACCCGTTGTACATCCCATTGACATCCAATGATCCACACACCTATAAATGCTGAGCATTTAGAACACTGCTTAAAAGAGTTTTCCAATATTGCTCCAACATACATGACAGACTGGAAGAGCTGGATAGGATTATGGGCGTGGCTAAAATCTTGGGCTTTGGAACAAAAGCCATTGAAGAATTAAATAATAATTCTTACACAGATCCTAGAAGAAAGAAGAAAAAGGGAGATAGTAGCAGCAATATCACAAAGTTCACATACAACAGAGGTCTATCTGATGTTATGAAAGAGATAGCGAATCACAAAAACACAACACTACTATACAAAAGGGTTCCCACGATATATAACTTACTCAGAAATGACAAGGATAAGATCAAAGAGGAAGAGCAAGCAGGCATATACAGGATACTGTATAAGAATGACCAGTTAAGTATCAACAAAGAACATGTGGGCGTCACAACCAGAAACCTAAACAAAAGAATCAAGGAGCATAAGTATGATATAAACAAAAAACACTATTCAACAACATTATCAAAAACGGTGGCACAAATGGATGGGTCGACAGTCGAATGGGCAGAAGCCAGAACTGCTGCACCAATATGTTTACCAACTCTTGCATTAACATTGGAGAAATGTGAAATCTGTAGATCTAGCCTGGCTGGAAAATGTTTGAACTATAAGGATGCCACGATTTTGCCTTCAGTTTGGAAGTATATAATCAAAAAGAACTCATAATTTAATGCCATTGATGTATAATATATTATTATACTTACAGTATATTTGTATTTATTATATTTATGATTGTATTTCATTATATTTAGTTTAATTAGTTCAATTTTAATATGTAACGGACTAATTAGTTGGTTTCGTTTTTTTTATATTTTGAATTTAACATGATGTTTGAAACACTTTGAATTTAAAATCCTTAGTCCTTTCGATAAGAACAATTGTTAAAGAACGACTGTAAAAGTTCACGTAACATCAATAACCTGAGGATGACCCCTTGAGTGGGTCGAAAATGTTTGTTCAACATAATAAACAAAGTCTCTCAGTAATAAGGTGTGGTTGACATACAATATAAATGGACATTTGAAATCATTAGAAGACCACATAACTACATTAAATACTTTTTGTTGGTTACATTTCATTTACTTCAATTCATTCAATAAATAATTAAATTTAGTTTGACAGAATAACAACTCATATTCCTGTCATTTGAAAAATGAAGAAGGCCAAACTATCTTGATGGATTTTGGATATCTTTTTAACAAAAATACCCAATAATATCTAAAAATGTTAACATTTTATTAACTTTTTCAGCATCTTGTGCAGATTATAATTTTCCATGTTATCAAATATAAAAACTAGATATAAGTATAAAGGATGAATCATAAATCTAGGAGGAGAAATATCTTACACAAGACGTGATTTCTCACCTTTTTAAGTTTCTTTTGTACTCATTCAAACATATTATTAAGCCAAACTGACTGTTGTATAAGATTGGACTATTTTCTGGCAATTATAATTTTAATTACTAATTAATTTGTCCTAGAGGGAGGAATTAGGTACCATATTATTATTTCCTTTTTCTCTTTTTTTTTTTTATTTTGAAAATGTTATAAATTTAACCTTTGTATTAGCCACCAGTAACTGGAGTTTTTCCTGTTGATAGCAACTGATATTAAAGAAATAAATGAAATTAAATTAAATAAGTGCTATATTGTGATATGTATATCTAATGCTAATTTACCATTATAAGCTCTTATTGATTGCATAATAAAAGAACTTGCACTTGTAATTAAAATTGTTTTCAGAAATGTTCTCACTTTTAATTTGTGTTTTGCCAAAAGTATCTGCTTACAAAAATGTTCTGCAATTTTCAAAAGGTTGAAAACCACTGTGATAGATAACATCAAATTAACTCTCCAATGTTGCTTATACCATTTCAAAGTAGTTTTATATGTTTTTTATAAGAAATACTTAATTTTCGTTTGGATATATATTTTATATAATTAATCTTCTATTGTTATCTTTACAGTATAAAAAAAATAAAATGCCTTTTCACGTTACATAGCTCATTAATAAACTAATGGCTGTTACTCTTTTCTGATTCTTAAACTAATTTCTTCTGGTACTAAATTAATAGACTGCTTTCCTTTTACTCTGTTGTCTTTCCTTTAGACTTACTATTTTTGTAAATTAATGGCTTTACAAGCTTAAAAGCATCGATCAATAAGATATAAAAGTAATAACCTCTTTAAATAAAAACTGTTTAAAATCATTAATTAATGACATTTAAATGATCAGCATACAATAGTTACATTTCATACATGCAAAAACTAAATAAATAACAGATTACTGTCAAATTTATTTTTCAGTGCCAAATTTCCAACATGCAACACTCATTGACTAATGGAAAAATTTTTATTTTCATTGTTCTAGGGTTCTTGCTAATGCAATTGAATGCTGTCTTCACATTTCAACCATGTGGTGACCACTGGACCAAGAGTAACTGTTTTCTTGCAATCTTCAAATTATTTATTGCTTTGTCACATTGAACAAGCCTACTAGGTAATAGTGGAAGTCTAAATATTGATCGTTGGATTATCATTGATCAACTATATGTATATATTGTTCATGTTCTGTTGTTCCAAACATCATTATGAAGAACTTTTAATCAATATTACATTTTGGATTGAAATATATTGGCATTCTTATATGTTTATAGGTATGATTGCATTCCTACAAAAGTGATATTGTACTAAGCTTATTGAATGTGTAGTGGCTTGGATATATATTCCTATATTTTTATATATAAATACATTCATAACATTATAAATTTACATAACTCTAGATACAATCCTCATAGATTTAAATTCATTTTTAAAATTATTATTCATATTTCAGTTCAGAGTTTGATTCTTTTATCTGCAGAATAAACTTTATCACAAATGATTTTCCCAATAAAAATAGGGAAAAATAAAATCATAATGAGCTCATAGTGGAGAATGCTTTCCAGAAGTGAAGATGAAATTCCTGGAATAAAACTATTACTAAAAAACTTATGTCTAGTTATGAAAAATAACTAGACATAATAATTTTTTGGGTAGAATCTTAGTGACAAACAATAATATTAAAGACTTGACTAACCACTTTATGTAAAAAAATATTTCCATCTTATGGATATTTGGTTTATTTAATTTATAAACTAAGACATATTCTGCAATTGGTCTTTTAAATTTTTTTTTTCTAAATCTCTTTCTGCTGTGTGGGTACTAAGGTGTTATTCCATATCTGCAATGAGTTAGGACAGGTCAATAATGATGGTGTTAAGAAATAAGGGATGTGACACAATATCTCTGGATGAAAACACCCTTGAACATTTCTAAGAATATGATCTGGACTCAAACTTGGTCCCTCAGATGGCAGTCTGACATTTTTACCATATCAGCCATTTAGTTATCTCTAAATTTCATTTTGTTCCTCAATATTTATAATTTTATTTTTTGATTTTTACAGATTATATAGAGTTATAAAAAAAAAAATTTACTTGCAAGGAGTAAATTTGGTAATACCAAGAGGCAATAGTGCCTGACTAATTAATTTATTAATTAGTGTTTCAAACATTATTTTTCAAGTTCACATAAACAACATATGCAAGATTTAAGTATTTCTTGTGATATGTAATAGGACAATTACAGACAGGGCCAGATTACCATATTACCAACTACTCCGTACAAGTAACTTTTTGATTATCCAATATGTACACATTTCTGTTAAAACCAATGTAAAGTTTATTTCATTTTTAAAATTAATTCATTAATTTTCAGTTAAAAAGTTAATTAATTTAATATAAATTCTCTAACAAATACACATTTTTTATTAATTACTGTTTTTTTTTTTCAGAATTGAAAAATAAGTTGGGTTATAAACAATTTTCATTATATATCTTCGCAATCAAATTCATCAATTACAAAATGTTGTATTTAGAAGATTATCTAGAAAGTAAGTATATATTGATATTTATTTACATTATTGATACAAAATAAGAAAATATTAATTAATTTGATGTAAATTATTTAACTATGAATCAGTGATCGAACATTTACCACAAGAACTCCGCGACAGATTTACAGAAATGAGAGAAATGGATCTCCAAGTACAAAGTATGTATAACATTTCATATTCATTAAAATTTTTAAATAGACTACTATATTTATTTTTAAAAATTTTTTAACTCTTTCTGCTCTATGGGCACTAAGAGGATCTCTTTCCGTACCTGTCATGAGTTCACACATGCTCATAATGGAGATAGCTGGATGGTGACATAATATATTTAAGTCAATCCATCTATAAAAATTTGTGCAATGATCTGGATTTGAATCCAGATCCCCAGACCAATAGACCTAGTGCTCTTACTGCTTGGACATTCAATCATCATAGGAAGATAGTTACTTTTTATTAAATTTACATCTGTAAAATTAATTTTTCATTTTTCTTAATTATCTTAAAACAGAAATTTCATATTTAAAGTAAAATTGAATCCATATTTAAATTAAAATCATATTTAATATAATTCAAGTTGTGAGGTAATTCTCACTGCAATGCCAAAGAAGGTGCATGTGATCATGAGACATAATTGTACAGTGAAGCAGTCAACCAATAGCAAGATCAAAGTTTATATCAATGTGAAAATAAGAGGAAAAATTAATTCTATTGTATATCATTAATCATATAACTTCAGTTACTCATAGTTATATGAGATACAATTAATTGTATTATATAACTGTAATTGTTCCTTTCTGGAAATCAGAATTGATAAATTATAATTTGACAGAGAAAGAGGGAGTTGAATAACCAAGACTTCTCCAGAAAAAGAGCTTGGAGTAAAAAAAAAAAAAAAAGAGAGAGGGAGAGAGAACATTTGAAGTCTGTCTTCAAAGTCCTCACATTTTCCAATGGATTGAATCTCTCTCTCAACTTTTAATGAAGTTGTAATTAGATAAAAAGTTTTTGTCAAATGTAGCAGTGCAAATTGTTAAATTAAGTTTTAGTAGGTAAAATATCTGACTTCCTGTCCCAAGAGAAAGGAAGTCATATTTCTTTCCTACTTATCTTCTAGAATGGTCATGCACCTATCTACAGTAGAATAAAATACACCATAGATTCATGACCAAGGTTTGTCTCTACAAACCAATTTGTGTTATCCTGATGTATAAACAGAGTACATTCCCAGATCTTTCTTGGTTTCCTATGTCGTTTTTTGTGGTTTTTGTTCCATGTTTCCTCATTTTTCCTCTTTTCTATTGCTCAGTTATCTCTCCTACCTTGGCTTAATGCTACTCCTAAATATTTATACTTCGCATATACTATAAGTTTTATATTTTCCTTGTTTTTACTAATTTTTACTTCCTTTAAATAAATAGCTTGTTTTTTTCCATATTCATAGATAATCCAAGCATACTTATATTGAAGAGCATTTCATATACATTATGCAGAAGTTGATTAACTACATAAGCAAAATCTTTGTACGTAATTCATAATTCTGTTATTGATAAATTCTTCACTACCATGCTTACTAGTTTCTTCTTAAAATGACTAAAAATGTTGTTCTCTGTCTTAACTTAAAAGATAGTTTAACGAGTATAAAGTTCTATTTGCATGTTGATTTTATTTTTGAAGAATTTAGAATGTCCAGAATAACATCTGCTATTGGTGCCATTGAAACAATATTATAATTTAAAGTTAGAAGGTGGCATAGTAAATTGCAAATAAAACATAAAAAGTAATGATGATAATTGGGTACAATTTCACACATCATGTGTAAGTTTCTATATTGTAATTAGTTACTGTGTTTATGTACCATAATACTATAAAGCAGGGGTGCACAACCTGCGGCCCGAGGGTCACATAAGGCCCCCTTTCAATGTTTATGAGGCCCACGGAGGGTACAGGCCAAATCCCTTCTTTAGAAGTTTCTAAGCATAGAACTTTTTCCCTTTCACAAAGTCATTAGCACCCAACTGTTTTATGACTTTCCCTGAGGTGAGAAATGGGGGTTGTTCTATAAATAAGTTCTATTTCTAGCTAACACTTTCTGGTTTAGATATCCAATATTTTAGATCTAATACATAGGATTATAATGATTTTTTGAAGAATCAAATAGAATAAAATGATGTTAAAACGTCATTTCCGATGTTATCAGCAAGTTTCTATTTTGGCGGGAAATTTTCAATTTTATGCTTCGGAAAACTTGCTTATTTGTCTAAATAGCGTCAAATAACAAAAATAAGTGAAAATAGCACTGAAAAACCATGAAAATAATGATTTTTTAGCATTTGTTTACATTCTAGATTCTGATTGGTGTAGTCAAATTTGAATCAATCTTTTCTGAAAAGACACTTGTTTGTCAGCCTAATGTCATTCAAACTAGAAAAAACTAACCAGAGTTCAAAAAGGATTGTACAAAAGCTATAACAACCAATAATTTACAACAATATCTCTCCATAGACTAATAGAAAAAAAATTTTTTTGCATCATCAAATTTATTATTATTAAGTTGGACCAAGAAAATTAATACTCTAGTTGGAATAGAGTCGTATGACTAAAAGGAAGCCATTTGCACTAAAATATTTTGGATTTAATAATTATTACAAGCCACAAACTTCTTGTCAACAAAGAGGGTTGTAAAATGATTCCAGCTAGAAAGTTGCAGTTTCTTTTGTTTGAAAGAAAACAGATATATTTAGGTTATTTAAGTAGTAAATTAATTGGAACTTTTTATTTACTTTTATTTTTACATTCTTTTTTTCGTAAATTTAAAATTAAATTATTATTTTTAATTTTTATTTTATTTGAAATTTAACAGTCGTAAACTGTGATATATTTGTGACAGAAAAAAAAAAAAAACAGATTGATTCTAGCGCCAATTTGAAACGAGATATCGCAATTTTAATAATTATATTTAAAATATTCAGATTTTCCACTGCACTGTGTTAATCACTTTTGATTCATTTCTGAACACGGGGGTAAAACTGACGGGCCATAAATATAATTTAGGTAAGAATGGTAACCACATTTATGATGGATTAGTGTCCTGCACCTGGCATGTTGACGATCTGACTCACAAATTCTGAGAAATGGTGGAGACGCCCGGACAGGGGTCGAACGAATTAAGACCTGCCTGGCCACGTGTGCGTAATAGTCTTCTGTCCCCGCCTCTTTAGTCTTTGGTCAGAGTGGATACAGAACAAAGCACGTGGTAGTCTAGCTTGCCTTATCTCAAACATGATTTGTTGCGGGCCTCAGAATTTTCGGCACAATGAGACATTGTTTTGCAGAGTGAACAGTATGGCGCCGGGCATTAAACGCAAGGTCAATCGCGAGAATCATCAGTTTCAAGAAGTGGAAGTGTGGACTAACAAGTACTGTTTTGTGCAACAGAACAACAGCATTATTTGCCTTTTGTGCAATGGAACAATAGCAGTGCCAAAAGAATTCAACCTGAAGCGACATCATGAAAGCCAACACAAGGATTTCCTTCTGCAAGGTACGGAACGCAAACGGAAAATCGAATCGTTACGACGATCACTAATCAGCCAACAAAATGTGTTCAAGAAACAATCTGGAGAATTGGATGCGGCTGTTGAAGCCAGCCTAGAAATATCTGCTTTAATAGCCAAGAATGGGAAACCTTTCACAGATGGCGATATGATAAAAAAGTGTCTTATCATCGCAAGTGAGAAGATGTGTCCTGAGAAGACAAAGTGTTTTCAAACAATCAGTCTTAACCGCATGACGATACAACGGAGAATCTCGCAAATTGCATCAGACATTTCTGGCCAACTTAATATTTTAGTTGCAAACTGTGCTTATTTTTCTTTGGCTGTGGACGAATCCACTGACATATCATCAACAGCACAAGTGATTGTGTTTATTAGAAGTGTTTCACTAGATTTTATTGTGAATGAAGAATTTCTTGGCATGGCATCACTTTCCGGACATACAACTGGTGCTGACTTACTTACTGGTTTATTGAGCGTTTGCAACAAATCAGCACTGGACTTTGACAAGCTATCCAGCATTGCCACTGATGGAGCACCATCTATGGTTGGATGTGAGAATGGCATGGTCACCTTGCTGAAAAACCACCTTGGGGACAGGCAAAAGGAGTTAGTCCAGTATCATTGCATAATTCACCAACAGCAACTTTGTGCAAAGAAGCTGGGATTTGAACGTCTGCTGAAAGATGTCTACGATACTGTGAACTTAATCCGCTGTCATGGACTCAACCATCAACTCTTCAGATCATTTCTTGAAGAAATAGATGTTGATTATGCTGACCTGCCCACGTATACTGAAGTTTGTTGGCTGAGCAAGGCAACAGTCCTCGAGATTTGTGGAGCTATTGGGGCCTATTATCACTTTCCTGAAAGAACGGGGGAACACTACAAGGAATTTGGAGGGACAAAGATGGCAGTGTGATTTAGCTTTCCTTGCTGACATTACTGCTTATCTAAACGACCTTAATTTGAGATTGCAGGGAAAGATGCAACTTGTTTCTCAGTTGACAAGTAACATCAATGCATTAATGACCAAACTATCACTTTTCAAGTCCCACATGCAATCAGAGAACTTTACACACTTTCCACATTGCAAGGCCATGAAAGAGAAATACCCACATATGATGGATTACTCTGACCAAGTAAACACCCTCCTTACATCATCCAATGAGAGGTTTGGTGAATTCCAGAAATACAAGATCTACCTGCAACTTTTTTCAACTCCATTTGATGTGAAAGTGGAAGATGCCCCTCCAGATGTCCAACTTGAGT